CCATCATTTATCTCCCTTACGTTTAACTCGCGACTCATTCTAAGGTCATCTTTCGAATCCGTCAGTGCGTCGGAATCTTAGGTGGCAGACCTGGTCACGCGCTTTGGATCATTGGGGTAGCCGGTGATTCCGCAATTTGCCTCGACCCACATGTAAATCAGCCCTTCCAGCGCATACCTCACTTTCCACCCTCAGACCCCACAAGTTCGACAGCGACAACAGCAACATCTGCCTCATCTCCTCAATGTGCCTATTTGCAGCCTGGTATGTTTTTCTGGTAGAGGCTGTCTGAATAATGGCAGTCTATACAACTGCATGAGTTGTTACCACCGGAATCCTTTGTATTTTTGCTGTCGTCCGTTCATTAAATTCGCCTAAATAATTGTTAGTACAACCATCTGTCCTATAGGAATTATTCAGTCTTGCGTACTCTTGTAGTCAGGGTAGCGTGGATTGCGGGATAAAATGCAGTGAGATAATTTGGCTTTTGCCACTTAGGGGATGGTTAAAATTGTACTGGCGATTAATGATTGGCTTCGATCATTCGCGTTGTAATAGCACAATATTAGCTTGACCGTTCATATATTAAATTTGTAATGGCCCAGTTTCACTACAAACCTCTTCATTGGTACCAACTTTTTGTTTCTTGATTGGGCATTATTATCTTGCCAAATAGTATTACCTTTCCTTTTAGGAGTTCGCCTTCGAGGTGTGACCAAGAATCTGGGATACTCGTCAGTTGACTAAGCTATTGGGACCAGACTTATTTGCCGAGCTTCAAGGCAGAGACTAAATCTTATCAGCAGAGTATATTATACTCATGCACATTCGGCAGGTAGATGTTCTACATGCAAAAATATTGCAACCTCAGCGAATTTGCTGGATAAGAATGAGTAGCAATATTGAGGTATAATTTACTGTCCATATTTGGTTGCAATTGTATCGACACGACCGGTTTAGTCTGTTTTGACAGACAAGAATTGATTATTTAGATTTTAAGATAATCAAAACTTGATTTTTCTTAGCTTGTCTCGGAATTGTAAATCACATCCAAGATCCGAAGGCAGTTCCGTTTTGTATGATAATTAGACCTGAGCGAAGTCGAGGTGCCGTCAAATGCGCACTGATTCGGTTTACGTGGTACATCGAAAATATTTGGGAGAGGCAAGTCCTTGGCTCCATATTTGCAAGTCAACCATAAAGTTCCCATAACGCGTAACTACTTTTTGCTACCGACAATTGGCTCTTATTCCTATGTTTATCTAATTTTGAAATATCATTAAGTACCTCGCTTATCTTATTTTACATCTCTGATTTAATTGCTTGCCGCTCTTTTGCTTAGACCATACCTACCATTGCGCCCAGCCTATTTGCGTTCCTCTCGAGCGTCTTGATCCAAGTATTGCACTTGGTTTCGTTTGCCCAACGCTAAGTGATTTCGAAGAGTTCTGTGATACTTTGACTAAACTTCCTTTGGCCATGGAAGATGTCCGGAACAAGTCCGATACTAGTACCAGCAACAATAGTGGGTTCGTTGTCCGAAGTGATACAAAACCTAATCAGTCTTCGCCTTCGACCAGTCTGACCCCTCGGATAATTGAGTCACCTGTGCACAGAAGTCAGTCTTTCTTTTCCCTTTTCGAAATCCACCCTACCAGGCCAGCATACTTGCCTCCTTTTCCAGGCCTTTCCTCGACAGCCGACTTCACAAATATGCTGGCTAGCCCGAGTACTGGTCTTCTGGTGTCCGATTCTTGCCAAAAAAATTCAGTTCCCTCAGCCTCAGAGTTACTACAAAGCCAGCAGCAATTTATCTGCTCATTTACCTCTGAAGCCAAATCGATTACATCTGTCGACAGTGATATCATTAGAAGTAAGCTATTTATTTATCAAAAGTAGTATCTGTCTCTAAGATTTTAATGTAGAATTTGCACAATTTATTCACACCTGAGGAAGTCTGTTCCAACTTTTTCATTTTTATTTGATCAACTCGCGACGAACAAGTCTTTTTCCACAAAAATGGCTATGCTTTCGTTTCTATAAACACTACAGATAATTTGGGTGGACTTTATTTCTTTCTAAATTGAAAATATTGGTTCTAAATTTCATCAGGTTATGTACGATGTAGACACGAAGAGAAACTGAGTTTCGATGAATCTCCTTAGATAACATTGTTAAGGGGACTTTCATTTCGTATGAAAGCGCATGAGGAGATTCGTAGGTCGATCTCACCAGAAAAGGACGGATGAATCCCTTTGT